TTTTTTTTGTATGATACACATATCTTATTCAAGATTGCACTGCATTAAAAAAAAGTTTTTAGTTTTAGATTTTTTTCATTGAAGTTTCAAAGTCATTTGAAAAAGTTCTAGCGTCAAAGAGAAAAACTAAAAACGCAGTTTTAATATATTTGGTAGTTGGTTTTTAGAGTGGCTCAACCCATGTCAAATTTCGATTTACTAGATGAATTATGGTCCGATGTCTCTTTTTAACATACAACAAAATTTTGCCAAGTACATTTTTTCAATATCTAAAACTGTTCTGATCTCGTTTTAAAGGTGATATTTACAGCTATAAAAGAAACATATAGTATGTACCGATGCGATCAACTAATAAGCTACGAAATTCAAAATGATATAGTTTGCAAATTATGTTTATTTATTTATTTTTCAAACTTCCACTTTCTTAGACTACAGTTGAATGGGCTACAGAACCGCATACCCGAAAATTTTCTAAAAATTCTAATTAAAAATTTTGAAATTTTGATGACAATTTTTTAAATTAAATTAAATTTTTTTTTGCAATTTGTGCAAGCTCTTAAATTTTTATTATTGTGTTTTCTGTTATAAATAGATTGAATAATATTTGAAATGAAAATTATTAAAATTATTACACATAATTTGCAAACAATATCATTTTGAATTTCGTTGCTACTTAGTTGATCGCATCTGTATGTTTATATGTACAATGGTTGTTATTTATTCGATTTTTAATATTTTTTTTTTATAAAACCCTAGCGCATTATATAACAAGCACCATATACATAAATCCACATTTCAAACTTTGTACAAAAACAAGTAATTTTTAGCAAAAAAAAAACCGACTTAAAAAAAATATATATATATCTATATATTTCATGATCCAATGATCGGATCTAAACCAAATTAGTATGGGACCACCTCTGAGACACTACCGTTGCAAAAAGAATTATTGAAATCGGTTGACGTGGTGCAAAGTTATGCGGTAACATACATAAAAAAAAAAAAATATATTCCGACGAACTGATAACCTCCTCCTTTTTTGGAAGTCGGTTATTTATAAAACTTCATCAAATCTTACCAAAATCACCCAACAATTTCAAACTTGTTATTCAGAAATTTAAGAAAAATTTTATGTGTGCACTTTTACAGCCCATTAAATTCTACACCATTTCCAGTTGTAAATGAGAAAGTGTCAAATGAAATTGCGAAAGCGTCATTTGGAAATGAGAATAGTCAATTGTAAATGCGATATCGTCATTTGAAATTGAGAATAGTCAATTGTAAATGAGAAAAGGTCAATAGTAAATGAGAAAGCGTCCTTTGTAATTGAGAGTAGTCAATTGTAAATGAGAATGCGTCAAATGAAAATGCGAAATCGTCTTTTGGAATTGAGAATAGTCAATTGTAAATGAGAAAGCGTCATTTGTAATTGAGAATAGTCAATTGTAAATGAGAAAGCGTCAATTGAAAATGAGAATAGTAAATTGTAAATGAGAAAGCGTCAAATGAAAATTCGAAAGCGTCATTTGGAAATGAGAAACTCGTTTTTATTCAGAAATCAGAATTATTTAGATGTTATTAAAAATGCAAGTTTATTATGTCCCAACTTGCATGTCTTGTAAAGATAAAGCATTTCCATGGAAAGATGTTGCGTGCTGAAATGCTCTCGCGCAGTCTCCTCCGGTGATTATAGTTTTCGCGTCATCCACCAACTTCTCCAAATATTGCAGCCGTTGCTCAACAACGTTTGGCCCATTTATGACTGGGTTTTGAGATGTGCCCCTTTACATGCATTTTGATTTTTCCCCAGATTATTTCAATGGGGTTTAGCATGGGGGAATATGGCGCTAAACGCAGCACTTTATTAATGAAATATCCAAGTAATTTATATATATGCATATTTTTAACATACTTGATTTATATACTTTTTAATCGTAAAGTAGTTCTTCCGCCAGTGTAAAACAACTGAGACTTCTCGGCGAAAAGAAAACCGAAGAGTGTTCTCTATCGAGCTACATACATTGATCCGAGACATACCGTAATGGTTTAAACAGATTCAAGAAGGTCATGATGAGGTACATACATACATTTATATGTATATAAGTAATTCGTGAAGGTTTTTCGGAATTCGACCGACATCGTTTTCATCCGCATATTTACCAGCTTTATTTTCCTGCCTTCTTATCTATGTACATACTCTAATATGACGTAGTTTACAAACAGCAAAGATGAAGATCATAACCTTCTGAAAACTTAAAAATTCCTTTTTCAAACGCGTTTTATAGCGACATAATTGATTAAGTATTATCAGTGATAAGCGACTTTAAATCATCTATTATATATGCAGTACGCAATTAATTTACTTTTATTTCTCATTTCCAAATGACGCTTTCGCATTTTCATTTGACGCTTTCTGATTTATAATTGACTAATCTCATTTACAATTGACGCTTTCTCATTTACAATTGACTATTCTCAATTACAACTGACGCGTTCGCATTTTCATTTGACGCTTTCTCATTTACAATTGACTTATCTGATTTCCAAATGACGCTTTCGCATTTTCATTTGACGCTTTCTCATTTACAATTGACTATTCTCATTTTCAATTGACGCTTTCTTATTTAAAAATGACTATTCTCATTTACAATTGACGCTTTCGCATTTACAACTGGAAATGGTGTAGTAGGATAAATTGAAAGTATCAATACGCTAGAAAATCGCTTATTCCATAGACAGTATGCTCGACAGCATTTTCTGCGCTTTTACTTCAGAAATAATCATATAGTGACTTCGTGTTTGCATCGCTATTGTTATTATACATATTTATGTATTTACATACATATAAAAGACCTGTAAAGTGAAATTATCAATAAGTTTAAAAAAGGAAATAGTATTTACTTTGCAACAAAAACATGCAAATAAAGTGTATTAGCACTTCTTAATGCAACTGAATGTATGTAAGTATTAACCACGAATACGTGAAATACACATTTATAGCTGTGATTTGTAGTTCACAAACAATGACGAATCAGTGACGGCCAGATTTTAAAAATAACTTACGACACACTATTGATGCTTATTGCACAATCTATTATGAATGATGACGTATCGAATTGGATGCTAGTAGAAGATGATTGGAAATTGTTTGTTTGTTACCAAGTTCGCTTGAAAAGAGATGACTACCTTGAGTCAGACGCCATCTCACAACGAAAATACTTACTTAATTACTTTTGAAGTTATTTTGCTAAATCTAGAAAGTGCATACCTAAATTTTTGGCTTAGGAAATCATTTGAAAGATTGTTTGAATTGCAAAAAATTATGCAATAATTAACGTATTTTGTCACATATACAGTTCGGTTCAGACAAGAGTGTAACGAGATATAGAAATTTGTCGATAGCTTTCGAAAAATATGTTGCTATCAAAACCAAGTCTCGTAATTTATAGAGGTGATCAAAGTTTATCGAGTTATCGATTTATATCGAGATATGTAAATTTTTGAATTACCGCCGAAACGCACAGCTATGGAAATTTATCGAAAATAATCGAAATAAGTTGAGTTATCGGACTTAAGTGGTCTTAAAATTCATTGAGTTATCGATTTGTATCGAATTATCCAAGTCCTGCCAAAGTCGTCCAAAGACTTTCAAAGGTATACAAAATTGTAGTCACGTTTTAGTTCCAAAGCAAGATATTTTCCGGCAAATAATTCTATACGTTATAAGTAAAACGACGTGCTGAGTTGGAAAACCTCTCCAAGGGTATTAACAAACTAGAATGACTGTCGTATTTCGACAGTAACCTGAACTGACTATTTAGTATCACAGTGAAGGTGAATGCTTTGACAGAAAATGAGCGGCTGTATGACACCCACTGAGGGTGCGGAGAGACAAAGGCAAAGGCCAGGACATAGGCAACGACAAAAACAAATATGCAAATGCAGACAAAGATTAAGATTTTGATTAAGGAGAAGATGACGATGTAGAGGAAGACGATAATGAAGAAGAAAATAAATACGAGGATGTGGATTAAAATTGATAAAGATTAAGATTAAGAATAAGAATAAGAAAAAGATTAAGATTAACATTAACATTAAGATTCGGATTAAGGCTGAGATTAAAATTAAAATTAAAATAAAGATTAAGATTAAGGTTAAGATTTAAAAGGTTAGTAGCAATCATTTTTCTACATCCAAGTAAACAACTGTACATCGCTTGACGAGACATAAATTTTAAAATAAAAAAAAATTGTTTAACCGACCACAAACAAATTTTCGATCCTTACATTTGCCCTTAGCTGGTTATTTCAAATTAAAAACGGCCTTATCGGCTAAGTAAGTGGTAACAAATTTAATTTATTATTTTATTAAAAAATTTACGCATGAAAATAAATACACTTTAGCAAGTGAAAAACGGTTAAATGCTTATGAGAAATACATACATATGTTTGTAGATACTCCAAAAAGACAAATACATAACTATTTATTTTATATAAAAGTTATACAAAATTTAAAGCTCACTTCAGTAAGTGTTTAATGACATATTAAATTTTGACTGTGAAATTATGCTTGTATTTGTTGTTTTGCTCTCTCGAATTGAGATTCATTTTAGTAAACATACAATTTATATGTTACACTTGTGAAATACGACTTAATAATCGTAGCGACGTTGTTTGCTACGGAATCGTATGACCAGATAAATAGCGAACAATAACATCACACCCTGAAAATAAAAAAAAATTGAAATTTAAACAATTAAATAAGTCTTACGAGCATGTATGTATGTACACAAGAACAAGATTAAAAGGTAATCGTTGTAAAAAAGATTATAGCAAAAATAACCGACATAATCCACGTGGGATTGATGCAGCTCAATATGAATAAGAACATGTGAGTTACTTATGCAAATTGGTACTTTCTGTAAGGTAGTAATTACCGTGAAAACAAGATTTCCCCATTCACCGCCGGATGAGTAATTGAAAATGCTGGTGAATTCATCTTCAGCAGCTTTGATGCAGCCAGTATGCCAGAGGGCAGTTTGATTCACAATCATTGAGGGGTAACAGCTATTCGGGTAGGCGAGGCGTCCAATGGAGAAGTAATCATCAGGACTGAGCTTGCCGCAGCAGTGATACTGTTCAAAATGAATAATTAAAGTATTAAATATGGGAATAAAAAATAATTTGTTATTAAAAAAAATTGTTTATGCTTATGTGTTTATCATCCAATGAGTTACTGGGGGCGTGAAGGTTAAATAAATGCGACAATGAAAAAATATTAAAAAAAAAAATTTTCAGCTGATATGAGATATTTTTAAACGTAAATACATATGTATGTACTTAACATTTGTTGAGTAAATGAGTCACTCAACAATCAAACATAATTTATTTGCATATAGCGCTTTAAATGTATGTACATTCAGGTGCATAATTCTTCATATGAAAAAAATTGGTGCTGCTTTTTATTGGAATTTCAAAATTTATTATATTTTAATGGCCTTATTCATAAAAAGTAAAATAGGTTTAAAGAGCTTCATAAATCGACGTTTTCATAGATTTTCCAATTTATAATTCTTTTATAAAGCTACTTTAGTTTTTATGAATAAGACCCTAAAACTTTAGCCAAAATATTTCGAAAAAATTTTAAGACTGCATATCTCCAAAACCAAGTTTTTATGAATACCACTTTTTTATATTTGAAATATTTAATTCAAAAAAGTCACTTTTGATAAAAGAAATTTTAAGCTTAAAGGTCTGCATAAAAATGTCTGAAAATTTAGATTTCTGGAGTTTTTCTTTCAAAACTGGCAAACTTACGTAAATCTGAATATTTTTTCGAAATATTTTGCGAAAGTTTTCAAATACATATACAGGCAGACTCTGAACAGAAACTCCCTGAGAATTTTTTCTGTTTTCCCTTTCCTCCTATCATAAATAAAAATTCCCTGAGGATTTTTTATTTGAAATGGCGGGGTTGAGCTGTCAAAAATGTGTCAAACAGCTCTTTTGAAGTTCGACTTTTCTCCTCCCAAATTTTTGGGAAAAATGCTACTCCCTGGAAATTAATTATTGGAAGTTTTCTTTCTCGGGAAAAACAACTTCCCGGAGAACCAACTCCCCTGGAGTATTCAGAATTGGGCTGATAATATTTTTTTTTTGAATTCCGGTGAAAATCTGCTTTTTTGGTGAGGCACTCTAATTTAATTCTTTTAACAGATTTAAAACAAATTTTATTTCAAATTAGGCAATATTTTAGTTTTTTTTTCGAAAAACGAATATAGATAGATAGATAACACCACTCTATGACTGCCAAAATTTACAAATCTGTACACAGTGATACGAATGCCATTAAAATATTGTCCGACCTGGTAAGCAAATCTCGATTTGTCTGGAATTTTTCGTTCCCCTCCTTTCATGTAGGAAAAAATAAATTTAAGTGCAAATACTTAAAACTGCTAAAATCTTAATTACTTCATTGCCATTAAGGTAAGTAAAATTAACTTCGTATGTAAAAATCTAAATACTCAAATACCACTTAAAATAAATGAAACATTTTTTTCTTTTTAAAATACAATTAAAAAAATTACAATAAAAAATAAATAAAAAATATTTTAAATAATTCCCTGCTCTAGGACTCGAATCTCTCGACTGGCACTCCAGAGCTTTTCTCTGTCGACCATTGCGATTGTTTGAGCGCCGCGAGCAAAATGTTATACTTGTTCCTTTCACGGAGGATGAAATAATTTATTAAATAATTATTATTAATTAAATTAATTTTAAAGAAAAAGTGTTAATGATTTCAACAAAAATTTATTTATCTATTTATTTTAGTGTATATCAGACCATATATTCTTGTTTATTTTCAAATTATATTTTCTTAGATTTTCTTGATAACAAGAATTTGTTTTCTAAGTTCAAAAACAAGAAAAAAATTATCTTCGTGTGGCTTCATGTAAAAGTTTTGTCGAATTTTTGCAATGAAAGAATTGTTTAAACTCTGCCTACAAATTTGTATAAAATTTTGAAATTTTCGTTTATGCCTTTATTTTGTAAGTACAACATAGGTAATTGGTGGCAACTTCAAAATTTAGATGATCATATTTTTAAGGGTCGCCCTAGTACACATGCAGAAAATAATTTCAATTCAAATAAATCGAATTAAGTACAATTAATATTTATGTAAGTTTATAGGAGAGCTAAGCGTTATTTACATACATATACAGCTCTCATATAGCCAGATTTTGAAGTTTAAATTGCTTATTTTCAACGAATTAAATTAATAACTTGAATACGCCATTCAAAAATCATAGAAACTTACCGTCTGTTGAGTGTTATTCATGGCGCCAGGTAATTTAATTTCCTCCAGCCATGTCTTTTCCACATCCTTGGCAGCAAACTCTTTGATAGCAGCCGAATCGGAAGCATAGATTTTGCCAACAATTTGTGAAACCAACGAAAGCGCTATGATGATCGCATACTAAAGAGAGAAAAAATGTGAATTTCATTGAATTACAAATTTACAAAGCAATAAATATTTTAAGTAACTATAAAGATGCCAACAAAACAATTAATCAGACTTGAATAGCGGGCGAATAGCGATGTGTAAGCAATTGAGTGATAGTAGGCGTGTGTGCACATGAGCAATAAAACTTTGAAAATGTTTATATATTTATACGCATGTGTAGTTTTTGTTTATGTATACATACTTATATGTACGAGTATACTATATACGAATATAAGTTTATAGTATTCATGCATTTTGCGTTTAGGTTACTCATACGCACCGTAGTCGTTAGACAAACATCCTCCTGACAAATGCCGCAACAACCCAACATGGCTGCAACGAAATTAACAGCACCCACAATAAATAGGTAATAGATGTAAACCTTGGGTGCTGTGTTGAAGGACAGCACAGCCAGCGCGATCAAGGCGAGTCCGAAGACCTGCAAAAATGCGGGAGAAATTTAAAGAGTTTAAGGAATAAATTATAAAACTATGTATGAAAATATATTAGTATGTATACTTATATTATAATCGTGCATTGCTTATAAAATTTAATTCATTGTCATGCATTAGGTGTGCATCGCAATTGAATTTTCGTTTAAGAATATAGCGAAAAGTATACAAAGAAATATAAACGCAAAAATAAATGGAAAGCAACACAAAAAAAAAACAAAAATGCAATTATTTAAACACAAAAGCGGTTTTTCCATAAACACGATTTGGCGTTGAATTGTGGTGGACCTGTGTTTGTGCGCGGTGTGAGACGGCTAAGTGGCACAAATATTTCGAGTTTTAAAACAAGTAGCTAATTACCAATTGGCATACCTACATATACAGCTCTGTGCGGTTAATTATTAACAACGCATTTTAAGTATTTTTTTTAATTGCAAATATGAACGAAATTCTTGTGGGTCACGGGCGAAAATAAGTTCGTTATAGAGAACTAGTTGATAAGAGACTGGTTTAACTCTCTAAGGAAAGTTTGTTCGATGTCTGGTTAACACAAATCGGATGTAGAAGCGCCGGTTAAATACAACGTATGCTTTATCGCTCATATGTTAGATGCATGAAGTCGAACCAGACATTGAACAAGCGGCCCTAAATCTGTTCCACAATTACGCATCTACAAAACGAGTTTCATGCTATTGATGAAACTTAGCAAGAATTAAATTAAATTAATGGAGGCCAACCTTGTGGAATTTTAAATTCAAAACATAAATTATAAATATCGATGGCAAAAATAACACAGCGCAAAACCCAGAAACAAAAAACTTTTACTACTGTCAAGTTCTTCATATCTCCTATTTACTTTAATAAGGATTAGACTTAAAAGCAATAAGAAATATATTAATTTTCCGTTGAGTCATTATTGCAGAGGACCATAGATGTGCACTTAATAGAGCTTACCAACCATGAATTTTATAAGAAAAAACGCCAAGAAATTTTTATTCGGAAAAATTCTTAAAGCTATCGATAAATACCGAAGATCCCCCAAAAAAAAAAAAGCCGGAAAAAATGCAGCGAAGTTCACAAAAATTCAAGAAGCCCGAAATATCATGAATAATAAAACATAAACTCCCATAAAAATGCTGGAAAGTTTCAAAAACCAAGATTCCGAAAAATAAGTAAAACAAGAAGTATCGTGAAAAGTCCCGAAAAATCACAAAAGCTTCTGAAAAATACAGAGAAAGTCCTGATAATCCGAAAAAATTTCGAAAGATCGGGAAAGTCAAAAAATTCGCGCAAAGTAATATAGTCAAAATTCTGAATTTTTTAGAATTCTTGTCAAAAAAACGGAAAAACATGATGCATTGCATTTTATTAGCAATTCTACATAGAAAATTTTTAAGACTTTAAGACTATACGACGTTTTTGGAATACTCCAAATGTTAAAATAGGTATAGTTCCACCAAATTTTTTCGATATTTAACCGACAACGTGGCCGCTGTGGTGTAGTGGTTAGCAGTGCGCGCTACCACTCCGCAGTGCCTGGGTTCAAGCGCTGGTCTAAGCAACATCGCAAAAAAGATATAGATAGTAGATGTTGAAATAAACCACAGTGAAGCTCTAAGGTACGGTGCATATTAGAGCGATACGATACGCGATACGATATGAAAGCGACATCGACATGCGATACCATATGCGGCGTGATAGAAAACCGTGCCGCACGGCCGATAAGCAAGCGATATTATTTCGCAGCAGTGTCGGTGTCATGCAAGTGTACACAGTTTTAATCGCTTCCTACCAATTCCCACGTACTCAAAATGTCGATGTCGCTTGCGTATCGTATCGCATCGCCTATTGTATCGCTCTAATATGCGAATTATTCCGAAATATTCTACAAAGTGCCCAAAAACCCGTAAAAGTTCCGAGGAACACTGAAGAAATCCTAAAAAATTTTAAATTATCGCAAATGTTTTTATCAAAAATTGCTAGGTAAAGTTTGTCCTTATATCTGCCTTAAAAAATAATCTAGATTTATTACTCAAAATAATTATTTACAAATTTTTGGCGGATTCTTATGGTGATGATGTTGATAAGGAATTAAAACATGAGAAAATCTAAAGTAATGTAATTTGCTATAATTATTTCCATTTTATATTAAATCTATACAAACATATGTGTATATGTTTTGAGCGGTTTAAGTTCACTTCTCATTAACTTTTTCTGAAAAGCTTTTTTATTGTTGCCAATTCGAAGTGCGTAGATCCATACATACATATACATATACATATGTACATATGTATGTACATGCATTAGAAGAGTATTGAAGTTTGGCTTATTATCACAATTTCAGACCCAAGCTGCATGTGATACGTGTTCACATTTAAATAAGCATACAGATGTACATACATACGTGTTTGCGTTTGCCGATATACTTTTGCATTTGTTTTTTCCCCCCGATTTTTTGTGATCGCAAGCATTCCTATATAGGCATACACGGCCATTTGATGTGAAGAAACACAAAAACATACATATTGACACAGCTGCTTGTGAATCCAAATTAACATTTTAGCGGCCGATCGGTGATATCATTTCAAAAAAATTATTCTTATTTTTCACAGAGAGCCAGTGGCTGGATATATGTACACTAGGGTGTATCAGTCTATAAACAAAAAAAAAAATCTATACTGTTATATATATTTAAAGATATCCGCCAAATTATTTCGGAAAAATATTAAGATTTACGTGATCTGGAGCGAATTGAGAATACCTACAAAAAAAGAGTTTTTATACCCGAGCGCAGTAGTGTACAAGGGTTTTACAACTTTGTTCACATAATGGTTGTTTGTAAAAGCCAAAACGAATCGGGCAATAACAACGCCCAGCTACCATATAACGGAAATTTACAGAAACACGAAAACTACGATAAATCAGTAATTACTAATTCTAATTGACTCAAAATCGATGATTGCAAAAACCACTTAGCAGGAAATTAGATGATTTAAAACTTTTGGGTAATGGACAATGGACGTCAGTATTTAAAATTTTTTTCCGAAGAATCACCTCGGATGATAAAAAAGTAAGTTTGAGCTTTTTTCTGCATAAAAATGTATAAGATTGTATCAACACAATCAAAATATTGAGATTTTTATTTTCAAAGTGGCCCAGATCACGTAATCCTTTATATTTTTCCGAAATATTTTGCGGGAAGTCTTAAAATATAAGAAATTTTCTTCGGCAATTTTATTGAGTTTGAAGCTAAAACTTCTACCTTTGTATATTTTTGTGTTTTTTCCACATTTTTCATTTGAAATGTGGCTGCAAGCTCAATAAAATTGTTGGATATAATTATTATTCTGCAAAAAATAACAAAAACAATATAATGCACTTTATGATTCCGGTGAAAATCCCGCGATTATTATTTTATTTTTTTGGTGAGGCATCCTAATGTGCCGCCATACTACATGCATACATATGTATGTATGAACACGTCGCACTGCTGCGACTAATTCATTTTTTATTGGGTACTAAAACCTTTTTTTGTTTTCAGTTTGAAATTTTGCATTTTTTTGCAATGATTTTTTTTCGTTGCTTGATTTTTTTTAACTCGTTTCTTTATTTTTTAATGCTTTTTTGATTTTCTCTTTACCATTTTTTTAGAGATTTAAATTTGTTTTTTTTTTTCTAGGGCTTTTCCTTTCTAAAAATTTATGCATTTTCGTTTGGTTTTTGTGAACTTTGCCAAAAGGCAGAAAAAGTAACTTGACTTAATTTACTAAATTTTTTTTGCCATTTACTTGTGTAAGCAATAATTTCGATAACAACAGTAACAACAACAGCATGCAAACGACTTTTCATGTGACTAAATAGTTGGCTATTTATGGCAAAAATTGCTTATGCTTAGATTTTTACTAAATTTGTTTCATTTAATTATGTACGTTTGTATATTTGTTGCTTTAATAGCTAGCCGTAGTATGTGTTTTTAAAACTTACCGCCAGTAGAACATTCAGAATATTCAGAATGAATTTCATTACACCGGATGTGCAGCCCATTGTGAAAACTCCGCCTTCTTATTGCTCAACTACACGCGAAGTTAAAAAATAAAACGAAAAATAAAATCTAAATTACTATTACGTGCAATTACACATCGAATTAAATGCAGTTATTTGCTATACATGGTAGTTATAACAAAATATTAGTCTGTTGCACAACATGCTACTCATTGACAATAGTTTTTCGATTTGTATGCCAATCACGTACATATATACATACATACGAAAGAAAGTAGAAAATTAAAATATTTACACAATACATACAACACTAAAGTAAACGGTAGAAATTTTTGATATCACTCGCTTCACTAAAACACGACCAAACGACTTATAAATATTTAAATTTACAATTTACACGTAAACCAGTTGCCGCACAACAAACAACGCCCAACCGTCTGGTTTGCTAACAATTTTCGAAATGACAAAAAAATCGAACATTTCTTAAACCTGAAACCTGAAATCGTTGTTGCGACTTGCTGTGTATTTGTGTGTGTGTTCCTGTGTGCTTGCCTGCTCATGTGTATCGCTCTCTGCTGTACCGCGCCACGCTTGATCACTCCCGCTGTGAATTCTCGTAATCGATCGTTGATTTAGCAACTTTGGAAACGGTGTTGATTTTGTATTGACATTTGTTTATGTTGCGTGCAACAATGTTTAGCAACATGCTTACTATGTATGTATGTAAATATGTATGAATGTGTTGCCAGTCAGTTGGTAGTGGGCGGCGCGCCTCAAGTGAGACCAAAGCTTTCATTTATACGAAAAGCACCGAGAAGAGTTTGAGTGGTTGAGCGTACTTTTCAAATTCAAATATTTAAATTGAACGGCTGATGGAAAGCGCATAACTGATTAATGTAAGAGCATATCGACTGATAAAACTGCTGAAAAACGCCGTATTTCAAAAAAAAGTAAGTGGGCCTGGGCCACACTGGGAGAAGTGAAACTTACGTTTACATATCTATTTTGTCTCATAACCAATGTATGTACATATATACATACATACATCTGCTTTTGCTTAAGGTTATATTTTTGTCTTTTTCTATCTAGATCCCTACCTTTCTACTTTTCCCAGATCTTTCTAATTACATTTATGTTATTCTGTTTTTCTTTATCTTCATTTTTATCTTTATATTCTATCGATAACGAAATTGATAGTAAAATCCAACAAAATATCGATAACAAATCCGATAAAAATATCGATAACAAAATCGATAAATAACTGATAACAAAATCGATAACAAAAATTTATTAGAAAATCGATAAAAATATCAAAAAATATCAATAACCAGATCGTTAAAAATAGCGATATCAAATTCGATAAAAATATCGATAAAAACCCAACAACAATATCGATAAAAAATATCGATAACAAAATCGTTAAAAATATCGATTACAAAATCGATAAAATTGTCGATATTATAATTGATAACAGCATCGACAACAAAATCGATACAAAAATCTTTAACAAACTCCATAAATAATAGATAATAAAACTGATAATAACCGATAAAGCTATCGATAACAAATTCGATAAAAACTACGATAACAAAATCGATAAAAATATCGATAACAAACCCAATAACAATATCGATAAAAAATATCGATAACAAAATCGTTAAAAATATCGACTACAAAATCGATAACAAAATCAATAAAAATTTCGATAACAAAATCGATAATAACATCGATTATTATAGCGATAAGTTCAGAAAATATCGATAGCTAAATAGATAATAATATCGATAAAAATTTCGATATTAAAATCGAAAACATATCGATAACAAAACCGATAAAATATATCAATAGGTCCCGAGAATTCCGAAAATCTCTAAAATCCCGATATAGTCTCCAGATTGAGTCTCTGTCTATATTCTTTTCTCTATACTTACCTTTAATTTAATGTTTCTTCCTCTATTTTCATCTTTATTTTTTCGATATCCTCATCCTCATCTTTTTCTTTATATTTATCTTTGCTTTTACTTTTATGTTTATCATTTTCTTCATCTCCATATGCCCTTCACTTTTGCCCTTATATAAGTAAAATGTTTAAATTTACCTTGGTCTTCATTTTTGCCTTTATCTTTACGCATTTTTGTTTTTGCTTTTATTTTTACCTTTGCCCTTATCCTTTTTTTTATCGATGTACGTACTCACCTTTACTTTCATTCTTGTATTGGTCTTTTTCTAAGTGTTATTCTTTAACCTTTTATTAGCAAGCTTTTGTTAAATTAATACCATATGCACACAAAAAGCACTTGTTTCAGCCCCCACCATTTCCGTTGCACCATTTCCGTGTGCAATTTCCGTTGTATTTGCCAATTTACTCCCAACCAACCAACCGCCGCTAAAGAAGTTTCACTTCAAAAATTTTCAAGAACGGCCTATTACAGAATTCGATTCAAAACCGCCCTATCTCAGTTGCTGATTTAGAAACGCTCTATCTCAGCACATTTTCAATATATTTTGAAGTAATCAAACAAATTGTGAGATAAGCTGAAAATATTAATAATAAAATAATAATAATATCAATTTTGAAATAGGGCGTTCTCGAAAGGTTTTTTCAGATGGGGCATTATCGAACTGGCTACCGAGATAGGTTGATTTTCCACTCAGCAGTCGATATGCTTTGAGTCTAATCAATACTCTGCAGAAAAAGGAATACTCGCAGCTCATCAGCAAGCCTCTTTTAGCTGGTCGGTCGTACCATTAGATCTAGGTGTGCGCTTTTTTGGGGGCCCTACGCACAACTCCTTTGTAGGTGATGTGCGTCCTACTTAACTTAAGGGAGGTGGAATCTCCTAAGCACTACCCGACCACTATAGCGTCTTTCAAACTGAGGTTGCTTCAATAGAGGAGGCGGCCGAATATTTACGTACAGGAGAAGTCTTATGTAATAACATCTACATTTACTCAGACAGTCAGTCAGGCGTTAGGCTCAGAAACTTTGCGGCACCTGTTATGCAGATGATCTGCGCTCTGTAGTAGAAGAAGAAAGTTCATGGTACAGAATTCTGTTAGGGTTTCAACGACGAAAAAACGTCACGTGAGGGTTTGATGTCACAACGGGCTCATAATTACAGGCCTACAGGCTGAAGGGTTAATAGCACTCCACTTCAACCCATTAAACTTCCAATTTAATTTATGAATTAACATCTAAAATCATACATATGTATGCTGTATCTTTAATTTTAAATTATTTATTACATTATACTGGCCAAAAGCTCACACATAAAGTATCCAATTATTCATTAATGATGATTTGTTCACGCTTCTGTTTGAGATTTTCCATGCTGCGTGTGAAATAATAGGCTGAGATTACTCCTAAGACCTGGAAATATAAAAAACAGATAGAAATTTTAATGAATGCCGCCGAATGGAAATATGTACTTAAGCCAGAACTCTAATCTTATTCAGATAACTAGCTGTAGCTATTTTAAATTAAGGACACAAAGAATGCCCATTAGGCTGTATCAACTTATACGCATAAAATAAAATTCGCCGTACACACCTGTGTCGCATTTTTGTTAGGCGATTTCGATAAAAAAAAAAAACATTTTTTTCGAACCTGGGGTCCACTTTTTGAACTTTTCTATGGCACCTACATTCAGCAAAACATTTTTTTTAAATAGTTCTACAGGAATTTTCAAAAACTTTGCAAATTTATGAATTTGGTAAACTTTAATTTACTGGCATTAGGGTGGTATGAGCGGAGATTTGGTGGGTAAGCACCGCTTACTTAAGGTCAATGAACTCCTGAACAAAAAAATTTGCTCCTCGATACAAAAACAGCGATAAATCATGCTTTAAGATCCGATAGTAAATGCCGAAGATATGATGGAAAATGCATAAAGGCAACCGCTACGTTTAGCCAAAAAATCGAAATTGCCTTCGAATCAAAATATTTCCTTAGCAAAAGTTTAATGGTTTTTGGCGAGCTTTAATTAATTAACTTTAGGGTGGCAAGAACTGGGATCTGGTGCGTTAATACTAGAACGTGATGCATGAGGTCGATAACACATATCGAACATACATATATTCCGACGAATTTGTAACCTCCACCTTTTTTCGATGTCAGTTAAAAATATAAAAGCGTGACCCCTACGTTCAGCAAAAGAAAAATAAACAATTTCAAAGTGTACGACGAGTTTTTTATTTTCTTGCACAGTCTAATGCGCATAGGTACGAAAAACTTTCATAATTTTCATAGTGGATTTTATAGCTGCAGTTTTCGCCAGCATTTAACTTTAGAAATCGAAGGTTTTAACAGTTTCTACCAATTTAAACATTAAAACTCTTAGCATCTGCTTTTTGTTAAAAAGCATGATTAGTGCAAGAAAATTTACGGATGCAAATATGTACTTTTCCTTTTTTGCTTTGCTCATGGACTTATTTTGAATAACTTTAATGTAGCAATATGTACATTAGAGCGGTTCAATTTGTATGGAATGTTTTTTCGACTAAGCGCGTATAGCACAGGAAGATTCTACGTATAATTCTAAGCAAATTTGCCGAAAAAGCCATGGGTCTAAAATCAATTTAAAGTTTGCCAAATTGCGAAAGAGGTTTCTTTTACTTAGTATTTTGCTGTAGTGTCGTAAAGAAGTGCTTTAATTATGTATAAAAACATGGTGAAAGGGGTTTTGGGATGAGGAATATATTTCTGAGCTTATCTTCTCCCTAAAACATCCGCCAGAGGGCGCAATAGTGAAAATTTTCACATATCGTATATTTTACTTTTCCTTGAAACACATTGAGAAATACGGCTTTAAAGTTTTGAATTTACATACAGTTTTGAATTTACATACGCTCTACGCGGATAGTAAAAAAAAAAATAACTCGCCCTAATGTGCATGCTAATGCCTACAATTTCGCAACTACTGTACTAGATATTACATATGTGCATGCATACGCTCTTGCGAGTATATTTTCATCTTACATAATTTCACACCTTACCTGAAAAGCAATTAGTCCCACAATTATCAAGACTAGATTATCACTTTGTTCATTGAAAAAAGTAGTCACTGCAACAACACAACCTTTGGCATAGATATTCTGATCTTCAGAGCAATTTCCCCAGCGACAACAACTATTCGGCAGAGTTTGTTGTTTGTCCGGCAAATAATCCTGAGGACTATCGCGACCGCAGCAGTAGTGCTAAAATCAACAAATAAGTCACTTAAATATCAAATAAATTTTAAAATCTATGAAAGCCATTAACTTCATATGCATTTATGTACCTGCTCTTGAATTTCATCCAACACCTCCTGCGTATCTGGCCGTTCATTCCAAATACCTTGCACACGTTTCGCCGCCATTATTGTTAAATCATCCTTTAGAATGCCGAATGCAATCAAACAGATCGTTTGCAAAACTATGCACAGCACTGTGGCCACAATATACTGCAATATGAAAAATTTGTAAAGATAA